CTCCCCATCAGAATAGCATTGTTTGAGTTTGTACCCTGAGCACATTGTGCTTGCAAACAATTAAAGAGTCACCCCTTTTAAAAAAAATAACGGGGAAGATGTCCCTCTTCTAGACCACCCAATTCAGGCTTTTCACTTCCCCTCATAACTCTGTTTACGAGGTAGGTGATTTTCTGCTTTATTTCTCAGGAGTCCAGCCAGGGGTCCCGTTTCTCCAGCACATTCTAAGCTTGGGCAGGCAAAGTCCCAGAGGCACACAGCCTCAGTGCCTTGGGGATAGCAGATTCCACCTCCTGGGCCCCTAACTCAAAACCCCCAACAACCCTCAGTCACCTGTGGCTCCAGTCCTGTTTTGGTTTTCCACAGATCACAAAGGCATCAAGGAAGAGGCTCACAGTAAGCCTGGCCTACTCGGAGAGCCACCAGATCCGCGTGTCCCAGCAGGACTTCCGGCTGTTCCGAACCCTCTTCCTGCTCATGGTCTCCTTCTTCATCATGTGGAGCCCCATCATCATCACCATCCTCCTCATCCTGATCCAGAACTTCAAGCAAGACCTGGTCATCTGGCCGTCCCTCTTCTTCTGGGTGGTGGCCTTCACATTTGCTAATTCAGCCCTAAACCCCATCCTCTACAACATGACACTGTGCAGGAATGAGTGGAAGAAAATTTTTTGCTGCTTCTGGTTCCCAGAAAAGGGAGCCATTTTAACAGACACCTCTGTCAAAAGAAATGACTTGTCAGTTATTTCTGGCTAATTAGTTTTTCTTTATAGGCAGAGTTTCTCACACCTGGTGAGCTGTGGCATGCTTTTAAACACAGTTCGTTTCCAGTACCCTCCATCAGCATACTCTGCTTTAAGAAAATGAACCTATGCAAATACACATCCACAGCATGGGCAAATCAAGGGGTGATCATCCAGTTTCGCAATATTTTCCCTTTATAAAAGGATCTGTTGGCCAGGTGTGATGGTTCATGCCTGTAATCCCAGCATTTTGGGAGGCTGAGATGGGTGGATCACATGAGGTCAGGAGTTCGAGACCAACCTGACCAACATGTTGAGACCCCTATCTCTACTAAAAATAAAAAAAAAAATTAGCTGGGAGTGGTGGTGGGCACCTGTAATCCCAGCTACTTGGGAGGCTGAACCAGGAGAATCGCTTGAACCTGGCAGGCAGAGGTTGCAGTGAGCCGAGATCGTGCCATTGCATTCCAACCAGGGCAACAAGAGCGAAACTCCATCGTTTAAAAAAAAAAAAAAAAAAAAAGGATTTGTTATGGGTTCCTTTTAAATGTGAACTTTTTTAGTGTGTTTGTAATATGATCAAATTTAATAAATATTTATTTATGACTGTTCAGCAATCACATCTCCTACATATAAAGCCACACCATAGTGGTTTCTGAAGTGAGTCTTAGAACCGATTCAGGACGCAGATTTCTCCTCTGAAGGGTCGCAGCCACCCTGTGCCCTACCTTGGACTCACAAGACTTTAGGATCATTCACTGATGTCAAGAGCAATTGAAGAATTTCCAAGGAACAGTTAAGGGTGACTTATTTTTTTTTTTCTTTCGTTTATAAAAAATGCCATGGGCCCTTTTAAGAGAATCAGTGTCACAAAATCAGAGAGAAAGTAGGATGACTCTGAAATGTTTGCGAGTGAGTTCACGGAGTGGTTTACTCCTGATCCATCCAGCAGAGATGCTGCTTAAGCACCAGCCATGGCAGACAGTGTTCTCTGTGCTGGGAATTCAGTGGTGAGCCAGACAGCCATGGCCCTCTCTCAGGGAGCTTACCTTCAAGTCAGGGATAGAAAAACTAAATAAAAGTCAGTAAATTATATCTATATACAGATATATAGATATATTTGAGATGAGGGTCTTGCTCCAAGGCCCAGGCTGGAGTGCAATGGCACAATCATGGCTCCCTGAAACCTCAAATGCCTTGGCTCAAGCAGTCCTCCCGCCTCAGCCTCCCAAGTAGCTGGGATTACAGGTATGAGCCGCCACGCCTGGCTACAAATCAATAAATAGCACAGCATCACAGAGTGAATAAGCACTGTGAAGAAAATGGGGCTGGGGCTATGGCAGTGATAGGAACTTAGATCAGGTGGGGGGAGCCTAAGAAGACCTTTCTGAGGAGTGACATTTGGATCAAAAGGTAAGCGACAAGAAAGGGCCACCTGTGTGAATAGGGGGAAGGGACACAGAAGAGATGTTAGTGCAAGGATGCTGACATGCTTGCAGGGAGAGTGGTGTAAGCCGACTATTGATGGAGCCTCCTCTGCACTAGGCACTGCCTTTAATGCTGAGACGAGGGGTACCCAGCTGGGGCCTGTCAGATGAGGCCAGAGAAATTGCAGAGCTAGATCACATACGGCCTAGGAGTTTATTCTGTGCTCCAAGCCCCTGGAGGTTTGCAACTGGAGACTGACGTAACCTGATAAATGTGTGCAAAGATTACCCTGGCTGCCGTGCAGGGGATAGACTCTGAGGAGCATGAGTGAAAATGGAGACCAGTCGGGCAGCTGCTGAAGTGGAACAAGGGGATGGGACCTTGGAGGTGAGTGGCATTAGGGAGGGATTGTGAGAAATGACTTGTAAATATACTTTGGGAAGGTAAAACAAAGAGGATTTATTGATGGAAAGGATGGAATTGATAGAATGCGAGGGAAAGAGAGGGTTCAAGGGGAATACCCTGATTTTTTAGCCTGTCGTGAGTTGGATGGTGAAGCAGGCAACAAAAATGGGGGAGCCTGGGCAAAGATTAGGGGTGGGGGAGCCAAGAGTTTCATTTGGAGCTCGTAAGTTTGAAATCCCAGTGAGACTTCCAAATTGAATAGGCAGTTGGATGCAGAAATGTGGAGCTTGGGCCTGGAGATGCACATTGTTTGGAGTTATAAACGGTGTTTATAGGCCTATGGTTTTACAAAACCTCCCTTGGAGAGAGAAAGAAAACCAGAGTCAAAGATTGAACCCAGGGACACTCCACCACTTGGAGGTTGGGCCAGTGGCTGGAATGCACAGCAGCACAGGGCCTGGCGTATAGCAGGTGTTCAACCAATCTTTGTTGCTGGTGAGGAAATCAGCACCAGCAGTAGTGACTGCTTATGCAGTCTCTGGAGCAACTTGCTTCTGAAGTCAGATTCATGGAAATCACAAGCTCGAGGACAAATGAACAGAGATGTTCTGCTCACTTTAGTTAATAGATTTGATCAATTAAACCTGTTTTTGGAAGTGATGTGTGGTTATCTTATTGAAGCGGCATCGCTGTCTGGGGTAAATAACAGGGATTTGTCATCTTGTGCCAAGAGGATTAAGGACATGGACATAGGTGGGTGGGTTAAGGAGCAGAATGTTTAATAGGCAGAAGAAAGGAGACAGGAGAGCAGCTCTCTCTCTCGTGAGACAGAAGCATCTGAAAAAGGAAAAGTGGTGGACCACAGCATATTTTATAGGCAGGCTTGAGGAGGTGGTGTCTGATTTACATAGGGCTCACAGATTGGTTTGACCAGGTGTGACGTTTACATAGGGCAGGAGAAAGGCTGGCCACCCCACCCAAATCTGATTATGCAAATGGACTTTCCACTTGGCCATCTTGTCTGCTCCTTACTGCACTCATGGCTGGCAAAAAGGGAAGATGGAACCGCCATTTTGAACATGCTTAGTCTTAGGTAGTACATTCCAATGGACACATCTGCTGGCATTCACCCATGCAAGCTTCCAACTTGCTTGTCTATGTGTGCAGCACGATTTTACAGGCCGCTCTTTGTTAGAAAAGGATTTAGGGGCTGCTTTTCAATAAAAGGAAAATCTTATCAAGGACTTCCGTACCCTCGCTATCTGCCTAAGTAATTTCTTTTTAACTCCTATATCATTATGGTTCCCTGAGGTTGTCAAACTGAAGCTGCGGAGCAAGGCTCTGACAGCCTTGACAGCCTGTGGTTCCGTGAGAGAGGAAGGCAAAGCTCTCCCATGCACATCACCTGTCTCCTCTGTCTTTGGTGGAGAACGCTAGCATGGGGCACCCAGGAGCCTCTCACGGTCCCTGGATATCCCAACACCCCGGTGGAGATCTGTGACCCTTTCCTCACTCCCAGTGCATTTCATAGACGTCAGCCTGCCATCACCAGTTTTACAGCTCCCCAGAGCTCTAACAGACATTGCCTAATTGAATCCTCACTGCAGCCCATCAGGCAAGGACTATTTTCCCTTATCTGCCAAGAAAAGAGTGAGGCTCAGAGAAGCCTTATAACCAGCCCCAAATCCACAGCTAATATGTATCTGAACCAGATGTGCACTTAAACCAAGACCCTCTGGTACCAAAGCCTTGCTGCTGTTTTCAACGTGAGAAATGGAGGCCCTGGGAACACCTGAAAAACTGAGGCAAGTGGCCTTGCACCCATACACTAGGGTTCCCACGTGCTGCTAATGATGCAGGATGTTAGTGTTCTGTCCCAGCCCCTGCTACTTACCCCCCACCCAGCCCCTCCCTGCACTCCAGGTGCTCTGATCTTTCCTATAGAATGAGATTCCAGAGGCCCATCTTCCAATTTCCCCAGAGGCCTCCGTCCTCCCCCTCAACATTTTGCCTACAACTGAGAGGTGAGTTGCATGCTAGAGACAATAAAGGGCTAAGGAGTGTTTCCTAGAGCTCACCTTGCCCCCTGTGGCTCAGCCTCTCAAATCCAGCGTTGGTGAGCTGCCAGCCCGCCCACCTCATAGGCCTAGGGCTGACTGAGGCCTTGGGCTCACTGGCCTGACCTACCTACTCACTTCCTCTTTTGGCACCAGTGCTTTAGCCAGGCTAGTAGGTAAGACTTTCCTAAGTGACAGAGGAAACCTCCTTTTCAGGAAGTTGGGAGAAGCCAGTATTTAATAATGGAGATTAGGCGCTAGAACAGGCCAAAGGTCAGAAAGAGCCGCTTGCTCCTGGTATAAAGAAGCGCACCCCACCCGTCCATCTGCAGCACAGACACAAACACAAATGAAAACTCAAATCACATGACATGGGTGACTATATTTTAATGAATCAGAGTCTGGAATCTTAAGCCTCAGAAACTTTCAGGAAAGACATTTACCTGCAAGCAGATTCACTGACCCCCACGTGTATCCTTATGTGTAATGAAGGTTTTCTGGGAAATGACGGAAGATGGGAAGAGAAGGGCAAATTAAACTCCTAAGATAAATAGAGTTGAAGACTGAGAAATAATCAGAAGTTCTCAGATGAAACTAGATTATTGATCTTGCTACAAAAGGTTTCTTTCTGATCTGCCATCACAGTAACCTGGAAAATACAAAACAAAGCCATTAACGACAGAAAGTGGACCCAGTTTTTATGTAGATAATGAACATCATGATGGCCTTGGAGCTGGCTTCATTCAAATGTCTCTTAATTCAAATGCATCACAGCAGATCGCAACCCTTAAGGTTACAGTTGGCTGTAATACATCAACACCTTCAAGGCTGTTTCTGAAACCCACTGAATTTCTCTGGGCATAAAGGGGGTGGGGAGAATAAGACCTGCTGATGAACAGGGCTTCCTTTGATTTCTCTTTTAAGTCTGCCTTATTGCATTTCAAAGTGTCAGGGGCCATCCTCAGCTTTCAGGAAGTGGGGGCCAAGGCAGCCTGACCTGGGACACACTGGTGATGGTTTTATAAAGTGTTCCATGTCTCATGTCATGTGTCACCAGATGATGTGGCACAAGAGACTTCAGAGTCACAAAACTCTAGGTATGCATCCAACTCAGCTGCCTATTAAAGATTTAGGGCAACTTTCTTCATCATTGTCAACCTCTGTTTTCTCATCCGTACAGTGAGCATAATCTGCTTTCTAAGGTGCCCTGCCGTGGTGGAATCCTCGCCGGCCCTACATTTCATTTTCAAGGGTGAAGCTTCAAAATCAGTTTGATTTTGGTCTGAGTTCCCATCTGTTTGGTGTAGTGGGTCAGTTCGTGACCAACAGAAATGCTCCATTTTGTTAAATTTATTATTATTATTATTATTATTATTATTATTATTATTATTTTGAGGCAGAATCTTGCTCTGTTGTCCAGGCTGGAGTGCAGTGGCAGGATCTCAACTCACTGCAGCCTCCGCCTCCCAGGTTCAAGTAATTCTCCTGCCTCAGCTTCCCGAGTAGCTGGGATTACAGGTGCATGCCACCGCGCCTGGCTAATTTTTGTATTTTTAGTAGAAACGGGGTTTTGCCATGTTGGGTTTTGCCAGGCTGGTTTTGAACTCCTGACCTCATGTGATCTGCCCACCTCGGCCTCCCAAAGTGCTGGGACTTCAGGCATAAGCCACCGCGCCTGGCCCATTTTGTTTAATTTTTTAATACATTTTAGCATTACTCTATTTGGATTTTGAAACCCAGTATCCCATAGCAATGAGTGGGTGTCCATTCAAACTAAATGGAGCTCTTTCCTCCACAATGTTTCTGGTTTTAAAATCAAGATCAGACAAGGGTAATATCTCCTAAAAGGTCTTATGGTTGTTCCAGGGAATCTCAAAACACCCAACTGAGGAAACCCAGCTAGTCAATGTCGTGGCTATTTGGTTTCATCCAGAAAAAAAGAAGGTGCATTGAAATCATTCTCTTTGGAGCTTACTACCTTGACGTCCCTGTGGAGTTTTTACACCAATGACCACATGAGCTGCCCACCTCTTTACTGGGCTGCTCAATCCCAAACAATCTGAATTCAGTCAAAATGGTTGTTTGGGGCAGTTTAGCCAGGGGTGACCACAGAAATGGCCTGAGGAAGCAGAGTAAAAGGAAAAGAGAGCCCACTGCAGTGTTAGTGCCAGTGAACCGGACAAAGGCCTTTACCCACACCCGCATGAGCCCTGTGAGAAGGTCAGTGAAAAATCTGGGCAAGCAGGATCAGGATTTGGCCCCAAGACCCCCTGTTTTCTCTGGGGTACAGATGAAATGAATTTCACTAGCACATGGGCCCAAAGTCCAAACCCACTGCCCTGCAGGAAGAGCCAGGAGGCTCCCTGCTCCCTGCTCCCTGCTCCCCGCTCACCGTTGTGGACGATCAGCCTGTACTGCCTGGCCAGGCACAGCTCCTCCTGCCGCTGCCTTACAATCCTTTGCGCTTCTGGGGGCAGGCCGTTGGGGTCCCGGGAAAACACGAAGGAGTAGCTGTCAGCACAGGTGCCGTCAAGGTTCAGGAGGCGGCAGGAGTACTGCACGGCATACGTGTCGTAGTCCGTGTCGATGATCCAGTGGTCATCATCTGCAAGCCAGAAAGCCATCGTGCCAATCAAAGACTCTCCCTCATGGGCTCAGATGTCAGAGAAACCCACAACCAGGCCTGAGAACACAGTGACTTCCAGAAGCTGGTTTTATTTCCTTAGGAAGCAGGACACTTCAGAGAATTCTGACAGCTTTTACAAAATTCGGCAAATCAGAAAGGGCCTTGTTCTCCTTTATCGAAAAAAATCTTGCAGTCAGGGAAACCTCATTCACTTCAATAATCATCTCTCCCTGTGACTATGTCACTGTAAATGTGACAGCATCTTTCCCAAGAACCACCAAGAATGTGGGCTCATCAAAACCACAGAATAAATCGTCCTACTGTCGCTTCACCATCTACTCTCCAATAATATCTCTGTGTCTTTTGTGCCTAATACCTGATGGCCACCAACTTATGTTACCCCCAGTATTGGCTTATGTCTTTCTCGGTCTCTATCAGCTGGTTCCTAATCAACTCACTAACAGCGCTGCCCCCTGCTCTCTCAGTCCTCTGGAGGATGCTACGCCCATGATCATGGCTTCTCTGGCTCCATCCTAATTCTGCTTATTAACGCTCCTCACTTCTTTGTGCTGGCAAAGAGTAGGTTTGCCTTGAGGACACAAGAGGCCCACCATCTGGCATCAGATATTCCTTCTCAGACCTTGTCCTCTTCACAACTCACAGAGGCAGAGCTGAGCCACTGAGTTTATATGTATTCCTCAAGGCTGAAATGTAAGCCATGAAGAGTAAGAGTAAATGAAAGTGGTAAAAATATCAACGAAGGCAGGAGAGGAAAGAACGTTAATTAGAATGTATGCGTGGCAGGGCGCCGTGGCTCGTGCTTGTAATCCCAGCACTTTGGGAGGCTGAGGCAGGAGGGTAACTTGAGGCCAGGAGTTTGAGACCAACCTGGGCAACATAGTGACACCCGGTCTCTATGAAAAATGAAAATAATTAGCTGGGTGGGGTGGCATGTGTCTGTGGTCCCCGCTACTTGGGGGCTGAGGCGGGAGGATTGATTTGAGCCCAGGAGGTCAAGGCTACAGTGAGCTAGGTTTGCACCACTGCACTCCAGCCTGAGTGAAAGTGAGACATGTCTTCAAAAAAAATAAAAAGGAAAAAGAAAAAAAGAATGTATGTGAGTGATTTGCCACAGAGAAAGAACAGTGTTACACTATATTCAGATAAAAGTGCCACATCTCTACTTAATTTAACCTTCTTGTTGACATAATACCATGATTGGGACTTTCTGAGCACTTAATTTATGTGCCAGTCACTGTATGGACACTTCCCATTTGTTTTCTCGGTTACCTCTCACATTGATCCAAAAGTGCACACTATCATCCCCTTCTTTACAGGTGAGGAAACAGAGATACTTAATATCTGAGACACAGAGATACTTAATAATTTACCTAGGGTTACAAAGAGCAGGGCAGAACTGGGATTCAAGGAAGGCTCTGATCCCAGAGCCCGCCTGCTTCACCTCTACACCACGCTGTGTCCAGACAATCAGCACGCTGGCGGGAGAGGGGCAAGAAAGAAAAAGGTTTTGTGTCTCCATCTCAGGCTCAGGTGTTGGAGCAAGGGGTGATGCTCCCTCTGCAGTGTTCTAGATGGAGAAACGCAGAGGGAACTGGATCCCCCAGCGTTAGAGAGTGTAAGGCCTTCTGGAATGCTGGCCCTAAGTCGCTTCCGGGTGTGCCTCTCTGAGAACCCCCGGAGTGCCAGCCTAGGATGGGGCTCAGCCCAAACCCAGGCTCTGCAGGGGGACTGTCCCAGGAGTGGGTGTGGAGCCCCTCTCTTCAACTCACCCTAGGCCTGCCAGAAGAATGAGCCACTCCTGTGCCTTGAGGCTGTTCCAGGGTGACAGTGTCAGAGGTGGGGTTGAGGAGATGTTCCAGAACCATGACTGCTCCGCAGGGACCATAAAGTTATTCAGCAGAAAGGCCGGGAACAGAAGCCACAGGGCTGCCTGCTGGGCCTCACCCTAACCGCTGACTCCCCTCACGGGCTCCAGAGTATCTGGGTGGTCTTCCTCATCCTTGGATGACGTCATTCCTTCCCTGGTTACGAGGATCACAGTGTCTGCCACAGGCACCCTCAGACACAAAAACACTTGCCTTTGAAATGTTGCCTCGACTCATGATCCAGGCAGCTATTAGCTTGGCGGATCGGCAGCTTCACTTTTTTTCTTTTTTCCCAAAATGGTCGCCAGCATGTAAATTTTGACAGAGGAATTAAATAACTTTCAATACTTGGATTGAGCAAAATTGGCGACTGTTCTTGACTTTAAAAGAAGGCCTAAGTTGGTTTGGTTAATCTCCAGGCTCTTTTGGCTGAATTAGTCAAAGACGAAGAATTTAAATCATAGCGACCTTGACCAGGCTCTCCCTTTTAAGAGTATTTGCAAGAGATGCACTGCCAGAGCACTGTAAGAATGAGGTTGGTTCTCCAACCTCCTCACACCCAGCGGCTGGGCAGGGCTCCTCTGGAGAACCAGACACCCTGAGCCATTTCCAGACTGCAGTTGACCACATGCAGTGGAGCTAGGGACAGAGAGCAGTGGCTGTGTGGCCGGGAGCCCCTGCCTCCCTCTACCATCCTAGGAAGCGGGGTCACGCTGCAGCTGTGTCTACACTGTACCTACACAGACTGGTTTAGAGGTTTGGACTGCCGGTCCCAAAATCAAAACCAAAGAAAATGCTTGGTAGAGGGTGCTGTCTCAGGCAACCTGGCTCCATTGGTCTGTTCTGTTGCTCACTGCTGTGGGCCTGGCATGTGTCCTTTCAGCTCCCTAAACCTGCAGGCTCCAATCATCTAAAGCAGCAAGACTGGGTGGGAAGCTCCCTGTGGCTCTCAGGCCTAACAGTCTAGCTGAGCCAGCCAGGTAACAGATTGAACGCTATTTCTGATGAATTGTCAAAATACCCCAACAGGCCCCAGAAGAGTGAGTGGAGTCTGAGGCCTTGATACCTGAGTAAGCCAAGATAACTCTTCAGATTGAATTATCTAGACCAGTGGTTCTCAAACTTTGTTGTGCAGAAACAGCATACCCAAGGAGCATACTTAAAATTCAGACTCCAGGGCCCTGCCCTTAGAATGTCTGACTCAATAATTCTGGGTTTGGGTCCAGAAATGTGCACTTTTTAACAAGCACCGTAGTTTATTTAGATATAGATGGAACAGGAACCCTGACTTTGAGAAACCCTAATGTAAACACTCAGGCCTGCATTGTTATTCAGCCTGACAGGAGCCCCTTTACCAGCAGAGTGACAGACTTCATCTGACAGAAGGACAAAAGGAGAGTTTTTGTCCATGTCTTTCTGCAAGAGCACAAAACCGCGATGATCATAGCTAATATTTATTGGGCACCTACTATGCACTAGGCTAAGCATTTTCACAAATTACCTTAATTAGTCCTTCCAATGATTCTATGAAATAGAAACTATTCTGTATCTCCATTTCACAGTGAAGGAAGTCAAATCTCAGGGAGGCTAGCCTGTATTCAACCAAGACCTGCTGATTGTAGTATCCTCAACCCCTGAGACATCCTGCTTGCTGCTGGTGGAGCCAGAAGGGAAGACCAGTACTGAGCATGCCCAAGGCTGGAGCAGCAAGCCACATTAGTCTGTTAACACTGACATTCATGTTCAACTGTGGAGATTGATCACATTTAATTTTTAAATAATTTGACAACAAATTTCATGATCATTTGGCCTTGAGTTACTTTCTCTCCGTAAGTGCACTTCATTTTAAACACATCCGTTTGGTGAGATGCAGTGTGTGGAGCAGGGGAGAGGCTGAGGATGCAGGCCACTCTTGGAGTGGCCTTCACATCCCTCTGTCCAAGTCAGTGTTTAAAGCAAGACCATGGTCAGGGAAGAAACTGGCATGAGGAATGAAAGTAGAGTTTGTTAAGAGGACCCCAAAACAAGCATGTAAAACAGAGCAAGGCAGGTGCATCAAGTCATGCCATTTGCGAGATACTCAGAAAACAAAGGGATCGTTTGTGCCTTTTTACAAGCCCTGGGTTAAGAGGTGTCACTAAGTGCCAAAAATTCACTGTGTGCCCTTGAGCCAGGCACTTCTCTATGGGCCTGTTTCTTCACTTCTAAAACAAGAGACTTGAACCCAGCGGTGTCCGTGAGACCTTCCATTCTAGACCCAGAATCTAAAGCTATGATTTCATGACCAGGGAGATAACTAGGCAGCCATCATATCAAACACTTACAAAGAACTCATGTCTCAGGCAACGTTCTGAGTGCTTTCTGCCTGTTAACTCATTGCATCTTGTAACACAACTCCATGAGGTAGGTTCTATGATCCCTTCACTTTGCAGATGAGGAAACAGGCACAAAGAAGTAAAGGAACAGGTAGTGGTGGAGTTGGGATATGAACTCAGGAGGTCTAATTTTAACCGGGTGGGCTTAACTACAACACTGCACAGCTTCTTTTTTGAAACGTAACCTAAGAAGGGATTTATCCTTAAGCCTTCCATATTATAGTCATCTCACTTAATATCTGCAGCAATCACTTTCAAGATTCCAATACTTTTTCCCCCTCCAAATGAAATCCTGATAAAATATCAATATACAAGAGGCAAAAGCAAACCAATCTGGTTTGATCGGGGGAGGAGGCAAGAAACAAAATGCTCCCTTCTCCTTGGGTCCTCTCTGACCCTGTCCCTAAAGGCATTGCCAACAGAATCCTAGTCCATTAAGGAGAACATCTCAAAGGGCTATACAGCATATGTGTTTCCTCTTTCTCAAAATCAGTAATCTTGTACCTCTGGTATTGATTTTTGTAATCCATTATCAGAAAAGTACATTTTACTCTAGATAAATCACTTTGGGAAGTTTTGCTGCACTATTTGAAATAATTTTTATTAATTCCAATGATAATAAATAAAAATAAAGCTTCCACGCTTTTTCTCTACTAGGTATGGTGGCTCACACTTGTAATCCCAGCACTTGGGAAGACCGAGATGGGAGGATGGTTTGAGCCCAGGAGATCAGGACCAGCTTGGGCAACCTGGGGAGACCCTGACTCCACAAAAAATACAAAAATTAGCTGGGCATGGTGGCCCATGCCTGCAGTTCCAGCTACTCGGGAGGCTGAGGCAGTAGGATTGCTTGAGCCCAGGAGGTTGAGGCTTCAGTGAGCCATGATGGCACCACTGCACTCCAGCCTGGGTGACAGTGAGACCTTGTCTCTAAAAAAAAAAACAAAAAAACAAAAAACAACAACAAAAAAAACTTAAAAATGAAATAAAAATTTAAAATGCAATTTCATCCAACACACAACTTTGGAGGAAGTCCAAGAGCATGTGCCATATATGGCGAGCAAGGGGTTACAATAAAGGACACTTCTACCCTGGATCACTGAGCAGAGAGAGTCTCCCTGAACAACCCTTGGTCCTATCTCACAGAAGAGCTCAAACAATACTCTGCAAAAGCTGGTCTGGAATAGGAGTCCCTGTAGTTCAGGGCCGCCTAATCCTGGCCTGAGATTTGGAAGCCTGGCTTCTGACATTGGCTTTAACAAACTTGTTGCATGTCCTTGGGCAAAGTTCTCTTGGCCTCAGTTTATTCATCTGCATATTGAACCCCCTCCAAAAGGTTAACTCTCCCTCTCTAAGATTCCATGATATGTGCCCCCTGGCCTGCTTTATTCTCCAGCTACCAAGTAGATTCCCAATTTGATAAATGGGGGGAATAATGGGGAAAAAAAGCATGTAGACACTGTTTCCTCATGATTAGGTCAAATTTTAGGATGTTCTTCTACAAGTCCTCAACATCACTCCCCTCCACATCTGAATTTCACAGCTTAGGGGAAAGGGAAGAGGCCACTGCTACAGCACACTGTGCCTGGCTCAGAACCTCAGCATCGGCAGGCCAGGCACTTCGGAGGGATCCATCCCTATGCGTAGTGCTCCCTTCAACCTTGGATAGGGCTCTCTCGGCCTCTGCGGGAGCCCCAGATAGTCAAGCTGCCTCAGGGATTCAGCCCAAAGAGACCGAGGAAACGCAGAGCTAGGTGGAGTGGTGATGTGGAAGGCAGGAGGAGAAAGCATGGAGAAGGCACACACTTTGGCACAGTGGCTGGTGGGGAAAATGACACCTAACAAACCGAAAGGTCCTTTATGAGCTTAGGCCAAGTTTCTTGAGCTGAGGGTTGGGGCGGGGGCAGGTAGTTGCTCCCAATCTTGTCCCCCTAACCTCAGACGGTGCTGCGGGTTCCTGCCACTTCCAGACCTTTCCGCAGGCCATTCTTTCTAAGGGTAGGTGCCTCTGGAGAAGAAACTCAGCGATTTGGCCCCGTAGGGGCCCCATTCCCAAGACAGTCCCACAGAGCTGACTACTCACTTCCTTTCTGGAGAAAGGAGGCTACGCCCCAGTACTTCATCTTGAACTTGGCAGGGTCCTCGGTGTCTGTGAAGGTGCCCACCATGTCTGCGCACACGTCCCAGTTACTGCAAAAGCCAAGCGGATCCTCAGCCAAGCCGGGCAAAGGGCTTCCTCCCTCCCTCCACCCACCCCGTGCTCCCTTCCCTTCACAGTCCCCACGTGGCGATCAGCAGGCAGGGTCCTGAAGGGACCCTGGAGTGCAAAGGGCGCAGCTACCCGGGAGGTCACTGACTTCAAAAGACGGACTCGGCCCTTGGCCGTGGCGCTCATCTGGCCGGTCTCGTCCACGGAGAACTCCGCGACGATGTTGTCCTGCAGAAAGAGGCCCTCGGGGTCCTTCTTGGCCATGGCGTACCAGGTCCCGGAGAACTGTGAGAAGGATGACAGCAGCAGGGGTTTGGTGTCCGGGGGCGCACAGCGGGCCGCGGGGAGAGCGGGGATGGGGTGGGGACCTGGGCCGCCCGGGCCCCCTGGGCCGATACCTACGCGAGCCTTGTCGAAGTTCTCCTTGACTCGGAAGCTGCTCACTCGGCAGTCGCGCTCCGCCCGGCCGCTGCCCAGCGCCGCCAGCAGCAAGAGCGCCCACACCCACTTCATCTTGCCCAGGAATCTGCCCTGCGGGAGATGCGCCTCCGTCAGTGCCCGGCAGCCGATCCCCGGGCGGCCGTATCCCACCCCACCCCACCCCACCCCACCCCACCCCGGCCCATCCCGCAGCCGGCCCCGAGGCCTCGGCCGCGGCTCACCACTGGGAGGGGAACCGCGCGCAAGCCTGGCCGCCGCGTCCGGGCGCGCGTGGAGCTAGTGAGGCCAGCGCGCCGCGGCCGCCCCGCTGCTTTATAGCGCCGGGGGGAGGGGGTCGCGCTTTCGTAACCGCGCGGGGTGAAAGACCGAAGGGGAGGCGCCGGGGGCACTTGCATAACGCGCCCTGACTCACCGGCGCCCGGGCGTGGGCAGGGTCCCCGTGGGCCGGCCTCACCTCCAGGACAGCCCCGGGCACAGTGGAGCGGCCGCGCGGGTTGTCCTCGGGCAGGCCAAACGCGCCAGCGGCCCTGGCTCAGTTACCCTGCACTCGTGCCAGCGGCTGCCAGCTGCGGTCTGGGGTGGCCTCCGGGGCCAGTGGCTCTGGCAGGAGGCTCGAGTCAACCTGGCGGGAAGACCGCGGCCTCACAGAGCGAGAGGGTACCCGCGAGGCTCCCTGGTGCGTGAGTGCCCAGGCCCTGGCCGTGCCAAATTGGCCCCTCCGTCAGCCCTCTGAGGTCCACTTGTGCAGGAATTTTGGAATAATTCATCCAAGTAGTTTTTCATTTTATAAAGGATGTATTTTACTCTCTTTCAGGAGAGTTGTGGTGCCCTCTGGTCAATATTTGTTCTTTAGTTTCAACATCTTTAAAAGCATTAAAACCCTCCCTGTTAAATATTCTCCAGAAACGCAACCCTGGTCAGGACAGGAAATATTTTAGCGGCCTCGGTGGTCGCCTGCTTACTCCGTGGCACTTCCCTGAAACCACTTTGAAAAACACCTACCGATTGTTTGTGATGCAATTTTATTTCAAACCCATATTGGAATTTTCATTTGTTTTCAAAGCAGCTAAGGTTGACTGTTTTGTTGGCTGGGGAGTAGACAAAGGAGAGAAGAGTAAACAACATTCTATAATGTCAATAGCCAATTGAATCAAAACACTGTGACTAGTTTAGCTATTTTGCCTGTGTGGTGGCACAATGTACTGACCCTGTTTTTCTCTGTTCAAGGTAGAGTTCCACTCATTTGATCAAAGCAGCCAGTCAAAGGATGAGAATGACAGAATGAGAATTCATGATGTGGCAAAGAAGTATCTCTTCTTAAGATTCCTTCCATACAGTATCAGTTGTGTCTCCATGGCCTAAATCAGAAAGATTCGAGATCAATTTGGGCCATTTTGCTGCAGCCAGAGCTGAAATAAGAGAAAGTTAGGGAAGAGGTAGGTAGCTGCCAAACAGAAATAAGGAGTTGATTGGTCCTCACACCAACCCTTTATCTATAGGGCACTGGGGCTACTTCTGAGCATCCTGAAAAGATGACACCTGTGGCTTCCTTCCTCCCTGCTTCTCCGTCTGCTTCCCACCTTCTCCTTCACTCTTGCACCCATTGGAGTCCCAGCAGTGTCTGGGGAGCCAACAGTGATGCTTTTAACTCCTAACCTCCGCAGAGCTAGGAAAGCCTGTTTCTGGACAACAAGCTAACTAGGAGATCTTCTGATTTGGCCAGTTTTATGGAAGACTGTGTAATCCCAAACAGCTCAAATAAGGTCTGCTTCAGACCTTCTCCTGCAGGACCCTGTGGGGTACGGATCTATGGACCCTGGGTGAGAAAGGATTGTAGGGCACCCCTCTATCTCCTGCCCAATGCTTGGATCCCCTCTTCAGCATTCCAGAGGAGAGGTCTTCCAGTTTTTGCTCCAAGTTCTTTAGTGCTGGAGAGCTCCTAGCTTAGCCCAACTGCCTTTGGACAGTTATTCCTGCCAAAAACGTGCTCCTAATACCCCCTGGCCTTTCAGTCATTTCTCCTACAACACATTCTGGTGGCCCTTGCACACACTGTAGGTTGAATAATGAAGGGTATTTCAGTGCATTTTGATGATGGTTTTGATGCAGCAACATGTTTTCATTTATTTGTTGGGTGTTTAAAGGTTGCTTCAGAGTAAAAATTTGAGGTGAAAAAAGAAAGTTGGTGTAACCATTCCTCTGCCCCTCCTCTTTTAATGATAAATCATGGACCTTAGTGCTCCAGATACCAGCAGAGAAAAACAGTTTATTTTGGCTTTCTTTCTAGGATTTCTTCATGATTACAAATAAGTTAATTCAGGTCAACTGATGTTCTTAACTTCAGTACTTTGAAAAAGATCCTCATACATTAACTTTTCAAATGTGTGTATATGTAATGTCAAAAGGAAAAATGTTCACAGTGAATATCTCTGTGTGATAAGATTAGGGACACTGAAAGATTGTTTCTTTGTGCCTTTTTGTGTTTTTAAAATATTCAATGGTGAAAATGTTAATCAGAAAATAAAGCAAATATTTCCTTTACAAATATTTTTCTTGCTCCTTTTTCTATAGGTAAAATTATGTTTTAAATTACATCTTATAGATTGTATATAACATACACAAAATTTCATTCATTTCCTTGCCATGCTTCATGGAGAGACAGACCATGTTTCATTCGTCTTTGTACCTGTCCCCACTGTCTCCATTTTTCCACTGGGTATATCAAGAGACTTGTTCATAGTAGGTGCTTGATCAATAGATATAATTTCTTTTACTGAAATTAGTCGCTCTACGCAAGCTCCATAAAACATTTATTTTTAAAGACCTGTTCAGAGTTCACCCTTTCTAATATATAATTTCTCAGGATTTAGTACTTGTAGCAGAGGTGGCTACTTGGCCTTTCACTGAAAAATTTGCAGTCCCCTTCCATGCTGTAAAGTTGGGGACCACGTCTGCCAGCCCCTGCCTTTGCTGTCCCCACCTTCCGAAGCTCTGTAAGGTCATGAGCCTTCTGGCCAGAGGAAGGGGCTGTGTCACTCCCAGGCAGAGTTCAGAAAAGCTGTCTGTTCAATTGTTCACATCCTGTCTTGTCTTATCTGCCAGGGTTGCCACCAGTGACTGACTTTATGTGAATGAGAGATAATCTTCCACTGGATGAAGCTACTGAGATTTGAGAGGTTACCTATAACAGAAGTTGATGTTACCTTAACCTTAACAGCATCAAACAAGTCACCAACTCCAAAAAAAGACTGAAAAAGGGCCCGGCATGGTGGCTCAAGTCTGTAATCCCAGCACTTTGGGAGGCCGAGGCGGGCGGATCATGAGGTCAGGAGATCAAAACCATCTTGGCTAACACGGTGAAATCCTGTCTCTACTAAAAATACAAAAAATTAGCCGGGCATGGTGGTGGGCGCCTGTGGTCCCAGCTACTTGGGAGACTGAGGCAGGAGAATGGCGTGATCGCGGGAGGCGGAGCTTGCAGTGAGCCAAGATCACGCCACTGCACTCCAGCCTGGGCGACAGAGCGAGACTGCGAGACTCGGTCTCTAAAAAAAAAAAAAAAAAAGGTTTTACTATAACTGATGGAAGAACTAATGCAAGACATTTATGTCCTTACCCTCATGAAAATTAAGCACTTCCAACCAGCTCCATTTTATACAAAGTAACATTTATACCCACATCTGGACGGAGGCCAGGAAAAATGAAAAACAAGGAAATGGAGCAGCATTTATCTTCTGACTGCATTTAAAAGATGTCAAAATAATTGGTTGAAAAATGGAAAGGTTAGTCAGTCCATGTTTTCAGGTACAAAGAGATAAATTAATTTTTTTCAATACGGTGTTCTCAGTGGTTGCAAAATCATCAGTCCGTCTCATCAATTTGGATAAAAATAATACGATTTTCACCAACCGAATTGTCTCTGAGATACCTGGTTATACCCATTAATATAAGTGCAGGCACAGGGCTTTCATGAGAGCAGATGTGCAGATGGAAGGGTCCTGTGCAGCTGGCTGCCAGATGTGCCTGAAATTCCTACCTACGGGGGGTGCCTTTCCATGATGGGTAATTATAGGAACAGATAATCTGGCTAAGGTGGAACTGAAGAGTGGGTTCAGTACGATAATGTGAAATACACTTAATTAACCCAGGATATTGTTGATTTTTGCTCATAGGCATATATTTTGGCTATTGTATAAACATAACTTCCTGTAGAAATTATTAACTGCAGCGAAAAATTTTAACAATGATGGAATTAGAAATTACATGTGCTCATTTATATAGAGTACTACTGAAAACCTGTTTAAACAAAGTTTAAGGAAGTTAAATCATTCTTTGGTAGATTTTTAAAAAGATTGTCTGGAATTTTTATTTCACTCTTGTATTAGTATTTAACATTTTATGATATTTGTCTAGATTTCAAAATCTTCAAAGAAAGAATCTTTGTATATCCCCCTCTAGCATCAAGTACAATGTCTAGTTCACCTCACAGGCACATTTTAAAATTTAGCCATATTTAAACTGGTAGTTTTAGAGTAGGTTACTATCACTTGCTGGCTGTGAACTTGGGCAAGCTAACTTAATTTCTCTGTGCTTCAATTTCTCACCTGTAAAATAATAATAGTACCTACCTTATAAGATTATTATAAAAATTAAATGAGACAGGCTGGGCATGGTCGCTCACGCCTGTAATCCCAGCACTTTGGGAGGCCGAGGCAGGAGGATCATCTGAGGTCGGTAGTTCGAGACCAGCCTGACCAACATGGAGAAACCCCATCTCTACTAAAAATACAAAATTAGCTGGGCATTGTGGTGCATGCCTATAATCCCAGCTACTTGGGAGGCTGAGGCAGGAGAATCGCTCAAACCTGGGAGGCGGAGGTTGTGGTGAGCGGAGATTGTACCGTTGCACTCCAGCCCGGGCAACAAGAGCAAAATTTTGTCTCAAAAAAAAAAAAAAAAGAAAGAAAGAAATAAGATAATATATGTAAGGATCTTACGAGGGTGCCTGTCACCGAGTATATATTTTGTATGTTATCTGTTCTTATTATCCTTCTATTGTTACCAGGTGGTTTATATTTCTTAAAAAATTCTATGTAAATGCAATGGAGTTTTCACATTGACTTAGTTATCATTTCAGAGTTTATCTAAATAAATTTATTGTCATTTAAAAATATTAGCATCTAAGATCTTGACTTTTTCCCTCATTTTCTCCATCAGTTAATATTCTATCCAAAAAAACCGAACAACAAATCTATGCTTTGAATGAACCAGAAGCACTGATGTAAAAATTAAACAATGAAGTCAACATTTTGTCATGTTAAAAATTTATTCTAAGTGATCTGTTTGGTAATTTTAAATTTTAAG